TACTAGAATTGTGGAAATGACCGACGAAAATACAGAGACGGAATTAAACAACTTCTTACATACTATAATGGGAATCCAAAAAGATTTGAAATTTAACAGAGTGCATCGGATTGGTAAACAACAACCCAATAAAAACAGGCCAATAATAGCCAATTTCGTTTTTTCAAAAGATAGGGATTTAGTTAGATACGAGGCCCCAAAAACATTGAAAGGTAAACCCTATGGTGTAAACGAACAATTCCCGAAAGAAATAAATGATAGACGAAAGGCATTATACCCACATTTTAAAGCCGCGAAACGAATGAATAAAAAAGCCGTATTGAAAGTTGACAAGCTGTTTATTGAAGGAGAATTATTTGACCCAGATACTAACATCCATGAAGACGAATATCCGCGCCGAGACACGCTACATCCACGCAGAACTAACCACTTGGATATGGAAGTCACAAGCTTAAAACAACCAGTCTTGGGGGCATTTGGGGGCGAATAGGACAACCATGGGGAACAACTAATATTAACAGTCGACAATAATCAACTGATACACGGATACACCGCAACTAAGAAACCATTAAGCTTATTCTACGTGAATGTGTGCGGACTCTCACCTAAACTAAACTATCCGGAGTTTAACAATGAAATCACCAAACATGATATCATATGTTTTGTTGAAACAAAAACTGACGAAGCGGATGATATCTACTTAGAAGGGTACAAACTCGTTATTAAACACCGACGTCAACTTGCGAAAAGGAAATCAGGAGGAATAGCAGCTCTTTTTAAGGATAAAATATCGAGTAAAGCAAAGTTGATTAATTTTAAAAGTGAATACGTCCTATGGATTAATTTTGAGCTACAAACAGACAAAAACTTACTTATCGGAATTATATATATCCCCCTGCTAATTCCAAATACTCGTCACCCGAAGCTTTCGAAGAAATAGAACGAGAGTATATGTCCTTATCTAATAATTTTAAATATGTGTGCCTAGTTGGTGATTTTAACGGTAGAACGGCAGCAAATGATGACATTATAAACGACAACGGAAGTGAAAATATTAACCATCTTTTAGCATGCGACCTTGTAAACTTAATTAAAGACGTCACGCTGGACTTAAAACAGTTAAAGATACCATTACAGCGAGCATCAAGGGATACAACTATAAACACTTATGGTCGACTCCTACTTAATTTATGTAAACATAACAATTTTGTGATATTAAATGGCCGTTTAGGCCAGGATAAAGGAATTGGAGAATTTACATGCAATGATGCAAGTATAGTAGATTATTGTATATCTAATCCTGAATTCTTATCCAAAATTGAAGGCTTCTCAATACTCCCATATTCCAACCTCTTTTCAGATATCCATAAACCCATTTGTTTGCTAATTACCCCCCTATTCTCCAGTGATAATGAACAAAATCAAAAGAAAGTCACACCTGTCACCAAAGAAATTGTCAATAAATGGGATCCTCTAAAAAAAGTTGAATATTGTCATATGATAAATGAAAATCTACCCAAACTAGATGAAATAAATAATATACTAAGGAATGTGAAACTTGAAACTGTAAATATTGATATCGTTGATAACTTGATGCATGATGTTTGTAATATTCTTGTAGATGCTGGCAAGTCCACTTTTGGTACCAGACATGTATGTATGAATAAAAAGGTCCCTAAAAGGGTTTTTAAGTATAAACAACCTTGGTTTAATAAAGAATGCCAGTTAGCGCGTCAGAATTATAGAAAATTCAAACGATTATATAAAAAATATGGCGGGGTTATATTTAAAAACAAACTTATACGAAAAGGGGCATCTTACAAAAAAACCTTACATAAATTCATAAAATTGCATAGAATCGATATACAAAGAAAATTACAAAATATCAAATGTTCAGATCCTAATGAATATTGGAAAATTCTTAATAAGAACAGTAAGGGCAATGCCAATGGTGAAATACCCCTACAATCGCTTTATGATTATTTTAGTAATCTGAATAGAAATGTGGACAATGATGTTCCAGATTATGTATTACCAATGCACGAATTGAATGAAATATATGATATAGATAGCAATGTTTGTATAAACGCAAGCATAACTGCTGACGAAATTCTCAAAGCTGTCAAAAAACTAAAAGTAAATAAATCTCCTGGCGAAGACTCTGTTATTAACGAGTATATAAAAAATAGCATTCATGCATTGGTACCTACTTATGTTCTTATGTTTAATATTGTATTTGACACAGGAATAATTCCGTCCGACTGGTTAATCGGACATATTATCCCCATTTATAAAAATAAAGGAGATGCCTTAAACCCAAGTAATTATCGACCAATCACTCTACTGAGCTGCCTTGCAAACTGAACCGATTCTCCGAAACTAATCAGGTTATTTTAGAAAATCAAGCAGGCTTTCGGAAACATTACTCCACAGTTGATCATATTTTTAACTTGTATACTCTAATCCAACTTTATAAAGGGTTTCGTAAGAAACTTTATTGTGTATTTATCGACTTTGAAAAAGCGTTTGATACTGTTTGGAGGATCGGTTTGTGGAATAAATTATTACATAAATATATAAATGGAAAATGTTTAAATGTTATAATTAATATTTATAAGGACATTAAAGCCAAGGTCAAACTAAACGGCGAAAAATCGCCTAGTTTCCAATGTACCAACGGAATACGACAGGGCGAAAATCTCTCCCCGTTTCTATTTTCCATTTGCTTGAATGATTTAGAAGAATTTCTGAATAAAAATAATGTAAACGGACTTAGCTCTATATCTAGCAAAGCCCGAAATGAACTGCATATCTATCTAAAACTATTTATATTATTGTACGCTGATGACACTATATTGCTAGCAGAGTCAAGCGAGGATCTACAAAAACAACTAAATATTTTCAATGAATACTGCTTATTATGGAAATTAAAAGTGAATACACATAAAACTAAGATAATGATTTTTAATGGAAAAGAACCAGATGACTGTACATTTTATTTTAATAACTCAGGTATCGATATTGTTGATAATTTTAAATACTTGGGTGTTTATTTCACGAAAAATGGATATTTTAACTATCACTGCAAGAGTAATAATGACAAATCTATGAAAGCTATGTACGGAGTTTTATCAAAATGTACTAAACATAATTTAAGTATAGAATGTAAATTGGATATGTTTGATAAAATAGTAAAGCCTATATTATTATATGCTTGTGAAGTTTGGGGCTACTTTAATATTACCAATATCGAAAGAATCCATATGAAATATTGTAAATACATATTATCACTAAATAATTCCACAAGTTCTTCGATGGTCTTGGGTGAACTGGGCAGGTACCCCTTAATTATCGATATTAAAGTACGAATGGTATGTTACTGGGCTAAAGTAGTAACTGATGAAAACAAACTGACAACTAAACTATACAAACTGTCAAAATCTTGCAATACACCCTGGATGAGATGTATTAGAAACATCCTTGACGAATGTGGCTTATCATACATATATGTAACACAAACCTTTTTAAATATAAAATGGCTGAAAACCCGTATTTCCCAGTCTCTAAAAGACCAGTTTTTACAATCATGGCATAGTAGCATAGCATTATCTCCAAAGGGTTTAAATTACAGATTATTTAAACATAGTCTTGATTTCGAAAAATATCTTTCAGTCTTACCCATGTACAAATCTAAACTAATATGTAGATTTAGAACTTGTAATACCAAATTACCCATAGAAACTGGCCGATGGAAGAAAACCCCGAGAGAAAATAGAACCTGTAAATTATGCAATCTAAATGAAATTGGCGACGAATTCCACTATTTATTTATTTGTACAGATTCGGTTTTTTTTAAAAGAAAAGGAAATTGTCTATATTGCCTAAGTTCTACTTACGACCAAATATACACAAGTTTAGCGAATTGTTTAACTGTACTCACCCTTATGTATTAAATAGTTTACACGGATTAATTAAGGTTATAACACAAACGTTACACCCCCCTGGTTAAATCCTATCCATACATGTATATATATGTTACATTTTGTTGATGTAAATATGTTATTATTTCTACACTGTATCTATGTACGGTTTGTGAAATAAAGAATATCTATCTATCTATCTAAAAAAGATATGGACTATAGTTTTTAACACCATTGTTCTAGGATTAACTCTGGATTAGCGGCAAAATTTGACATCAAAGCCTGCCGGCTAAGTGGGAACACCCCGTTACTGCTTCGGGCGGAATGCTGCCTTTAAGTCATTTTAATACCCATTTACACTAAATAGGAAATCATTTTTACCTACAAATACGTCAAACGCCTTTATTTATTTTTCCAATACATAAAAAAAAAATGTTTTAGAATTTAATTTGTCGCAGGAAAAAAGTTAATATTTCTGGCTCATTAAGCCGCATCGATGTCATCCTTATCAGTGATTGTAGTGGCCTAGCGAAAATCTACTGCTGATCAGTGTGCTATTGGTGGAGTATGCTTATTGTGGTAGAACAAAATGATGTAAACCTTCTAAAATGTGCGGAATGAAACTGTCACGTTTCAATAATTAAACTATTGGTATGTCTTAGCGTTACACAGAGCCCTGATTTCTATATTCTTGAACAAAATGCACAGCGATGTAATCATCTAGTCATGTTAATTGTGCTATACACGACATCAAATATGGCGAATTTCTGTTGCCATTTAAAAATATTATCACTGACAAAAATACTGAAATTGCCGACATCTTCATTCTGAACTACAAAATATAAAGATAATATATGTTCTGTCATCCAGTATTGTAAACAGTGTTTCAGGGTCTTATCGATTTACACTCAAATAGTGTTACCATATGGTAAGTTTTATAAACAATATGTGAAATTATGTCTTGGCAGGTTTTTTATTTCTTGTCATTTAGCATTGTAACAGTGACATAAGATATAAATATCTTACATTAAATATATGTTATTTTTTTTTAGAAAAAATAAATATGTTTATACAATTTACCCAGCTTTCACTCGGATCAGAACTTCGGTTTCACTGACTGTTGGTTCTGGATTCTGCAATACCTTTAACATTTTGATTCCGCCGAATCCTGTCAATACCAAACTCTTCATCTCCTTGACCGGAGTAGGCGATTCAGATTCAACAACTTTGCCATCTTGTTCGGTAGTACCTGGAGCAGTCGGTGCAGCCGATTCCGACATATTAGAATTGACTGGTGTTGAAAAACGAATCTTACTCAGCAAGTCCAGGACTAGGGGTCGTAAGGCCTATCGCTTATCCAAGGTCAATAAAAATATTAATTATGCTGATTTCACGACGGCAAGCCGATACATCTCGACAGTGTGGGTGGTGGCAAATATCGACTAGATCTCTCTGCTGTGTTTCACACGCTTAGCGTATACACGCTATGCTATAGCAATGGACCTCGTCTTCAATCGGAACCAACGTTGATGTAAACACGTTCGATTTTCTCTGCATTGTCGAAGATATATTGCGTAATCCTTTAATGCGTAATGTTGTAAACAAAGTGACCATTATTGATTTTCCGACCTTTTTGTATACGAGACTTAGGTTGAAATGCTGACAATCAATCGGTATCATTAACCATCTGGGTGGGTTATGATCACCGAACACAAATTAGCAACCTATTCGCCTAGCGGCAGATTCGACTAATCAAGCTGGCAACCTTTTCGTTGGCAGCTTATTCAGAAAAAAGACCTGGGCCCTTATTCACGAAAACTTAAACTAAGATACAATCGAAATTTTAAGAAATACTGCAATTCGATTGGCTGACCAATATGCAAATTGGATATATGCAAATTGATTTTACTGGTCAGCCAATCGAATTGCAGTATTTCTTAAAATTTCGATTGTATCTTAGTTTAAGTTTTTGTGAATAAGGGCCCAGAATTGCCCAACCTCATCTATATTCATCAACCAATAAAATCCAACGTTACATGTATAAAATGAAAGTAGAATATATTTTACCGTACACTACTACAGTATTAAGCTATTCCTTTAGCTCAGAATTGAGGTGTAATTTCGGATTATCCTACAAAATTCTTAGCATCTTACTACATATGTTCTGAAAGGTAATAAAATAAGCTTTCCAAGATTATTCATAAAAGTTGGCACAATCATATTAAACGGGCGCACTCTCATCCTAAACGTCGCCAATTTTTCAATTTTTTAAAGTGAAAGACCGGTAATATTCTCATTCAAAATTCGTACAATATTTTGAGCATTCAATTATATATATTCTGAAGGATAATTAAGTAAGCTTTCCAAATATCATTAGTAAAAGTTGACACAATCATATTAAAAAGGTGCGATTTCATCCTAAACATAGCCAATTTTTAAGAATATTTTAAAAGGAAAGACCGTTAATATCCCGAGTCAAAATTCGGTCCATCGTACAAAATTCTGATGATCCAACTAAATATAACATGAGAGGTAATTAAATAAGCTTTCCAAATATTATTAGTAAAAGTTGGCACAATCATATTAAAGGGGCGCGTTCTCAATCCGAACACTGCCAATGTTTCAATATTCTATAGGGAAAGTCAGTTAATATTCCGTGTCAAAATTCGGATCATCGTACAAAGCTTGTTTAATTACCTTTCAGAATATTCTTAGTTGGATGCTCATAATTCTGTACGATGATCCGAATTTTGACACGGAATATTAACTGTCTTTCCTTTTAGAATATTGAAACATTGGTAATGTTCGGGTTGAGAGCGCTCCCCTTTAATATGATTGTGCCAACGTTTGCTAATAATATTTGGAAAGCTTATTTAATTACCGTTCAATATATGTTTAGTTGGATCATCAACATTTTGTACGATGGTCGGAATTTGAACTTCGAAAAAAATTCAGGTCTATATTTACATTTAGAATATTAAAATATTGGCTATGTTCAGGTTAAGAGCGTGACTCTTTAATATGATTGTGCCAACTTTTACTAATAATTTTGGGAAAGCTTGTTTAATTACCTACTTTCAGAATATATATAGTTGGATGCTCAGAATTTTGTACGATGATCCGAATTTTGACACGGAATATTAACTGTCTTTCCCTATAGAATATTGAAACATTGGCAGTGTTCGGGTTGAGAGCGCGCCCCTTAAATATGATTGTGCCAACTTTTACTAATAATATTTGGAAAGTTTATTTAATTGCCTTTCAGAATATATTTAGTTGGATTGTCAGAATTTTTGTACGATGAACCGAATTTTGACTCGGAATCTTAACGGTCTTTCCTTTTAAAATATTCTTAAAGATTGGCTATGTTTAGGATGAGAGCGCACCTCTTTAATATGATTGTGCCAACTTTTACTAATAATATTTGGAAAGTTTACTTAATTATCCTTCAGAATATATGTAGTTGGATGCTCATAATTTTATACGATGGTCCGAGTTTTGACTGAGAATATTACCGGTCTTTCACTTTAAAAAATTGAAAAATTGGCAACGTTTAGGATGAGAGTGCAGCCCTTTAATATGATTGTGACAACTTTTATGAATAATATTTGGAAAGCTTATTTTATTACCTTTCAGAACATATGTAGTAAGATGTTAAGAATTGTGTACGAAAATCCGAAATTACACCTCAATTCTGAGCTAAAGGAATAGCTTAATATTGTAGTTGTACGGTATAATATATTCTACTTTCATTTTATACATGTAACATTGGATTTTATTGGTTGATAAATATAGATGAGTTTGGGCGATTCTGGTCTTTATTCTGAATAGGTTGCCAACGAAAAGGTTGCCAGTTTGATCAGTCGAATCTGACGCTAGGCGAATAGGTTGCCAATTTTTGTTCGGTGTTATGATCTGTGGCTATATTGAACTGTAGGTTGGATTCCCCGGTTGTACATGACAACGGGTAGGGTCGCATGTCCAACCTCGTGGGTTTTCTCCGGGTCCTCCGGTTTCCTCCCACTGCTAAAGACCCCTACGCACAAGCGAATTATTGAAATAAAATTGAACTATGTTTTAGTCCCGAAATGGCCTGGTTTGTGTCGAGTGGACTTTAAACCTCATATCTCTCTCTCTCTCTCTCTTTCTCTCTCTCTCTCTTGAACTGTAGGGGGGTAATTAGATAATGAGTTATATTACAAGAAATCGACTTAATAAAGTCGACTTCACGCATTAAATTCACCTCATGCCGACATGTTTACATCATGTCAATAGTCGATTTTTTACTTAATAACATTCTTTAATTGAGCGTAAATAACTACAGCTGCCATTCTATCTGTGATTGTCGTTTGATTAACAACAAAATGTTTCTTACAGGTTTACAGGTGAATTTCAGTTTCATTATTTCTTAGTTTCATCCATATTTACAGACTCCTGTACTTTAACTTTGACGACTGAAAATATCCGAAATACATTTGAATCCCGCCAACAACCCTTAAACTCGGTCATGAATGAATGAATGAATTGGGGTTTAAAGTTCAACTTTTCTGCACCTACCGGTCTAATGAACTAAAAGACGGACATACGTCATACAGTGTGCTATGAGGGGAATTTTATTTTGCTCGGACAGCAATTGAATTCCAACTGGCATAGGTCTGCAGCCGAAATTTCTAGCTTGCTTAGAAACACAATTCCGCTACATGGTCCTCCCTAATAAACAAACTATACATGTTTGGAAAGCTTATACCACCAGGAACACAAATCCAGAGAGTTCAAAGCAAAATGTTTGCACTAACTTGATTTAGGGACAGATGAAAATTGTGATAATTTTCAAGTAAATGCTATATTTATACTAACAATTGTGAAGTTGACATAAAATTAAATATTGGCGAAAACACCCAATGCCTTCATCCTCGGCAAAGAATATGCTATTGGTTAAATTTTGATTTAAACCAAAATGCAGAAAACATAATGGACAAGGGAACATACAGAATTTTGGAAATCCATTAACGGTAATAGGGAGTTATCTCCCTTTCTGTCAAATGTCTGCAATTGATAACAGTTTTTCAGGTGTGTATTGACTGCTGATGCTGTATGACGCACCAGACCATGTGTGGGCACACAAGCCCAATATTTATATCGTTAATGGGGTCCCAGGGGACTGCAAGGGTTGGTGAGCGGGTGTTTACCCAGAAATTATGGGCGGAGCGCCTAGTCTGATGAGCAAGGAGATATGCTGAACGGAGAACGGAATCTGTCCGTTGTTTTGTAAATCGCATTGAAATCATTTGATTTTTTCAACTAAAACATAAAACCACATCCACATACCCCTTCAATTAGACCCTACCCTACATTATTTTTTACTACAGGTAGCTGTAAACCTCTAGTTAAGATAGTTAAGGCCGAATTACAAACATTTAAACTGAAACCGTATCTATAATTGTGTAATTTGCAAACAAATATAGATATAAGAAAAAAACCTATTTTTTTTATTGAAGTAAAACAATTATTCAAAATCAAAATTACGTAGTTACTCTTCACTTTAAATGCCATCAAAGAAAGTTGGTCGTTATCATCATCACTGTCACTACATGTATAAACATCAAATTCGGTTTCTTTAACAGTCTTTTTGTTTCATTTCACATTTACTACACTTACACGGATAAGTCATACAGCCTTGAGCCTGTATTTTGAAGATCATGTATTGAATTTAAATAACCAACATAATCTGAGTCAGATATACAATCTTTAAGAAGTTCAATAAATTTATCAATCACTGAATCGCTTAGCCATCTATCACACAACAAAGTTTTTAATTCAGTCACTGACAACTGATAATTACCAGGAATATTATGTTTGAAAGAATCTGTATTGTTCTGGAGAATATTTTTAAATTCAACAACCTGTTCAAAGTTAATATTATCTATTGGTGTAAATAAGGGTTGCCAATTCAAAACATATGTTTTCATTTTCTAATTCTTGCCTTACTCCTTTAGCATTGTAAAAATCCCGAAAAAACTTAATTTCTTCAAAACTGAAATTGCCATATGGCAAATCTACATAAAAATCTTTGTCATTATTTATGAGCCTGATAATTTCATCCAAGTCTTTTATTGGAGGCATGTATTTGGAGTCTTCACATTTAGAGAGTTTAATATGGGCAATGTTCCGTTTAATATCATAGTTCCTACCTATTACAACAGGAAGAATTTTATGAGGCAAAGATAGACCAATTCTACTACTGCTATTTTGTAAAGCCATTGTACAATGTAACTTGCTCACCTGTTTTTAATTCCGAAATGTACCGTACTGAATTAAACTTTCATGTTTCAATCCAAGCTGTACGCACCCTCTTCACCAAACTTCTTTAGTTCTTAACTAGCAAGTCAATAAATTTAATACCACTGGCACTGTCGCTATTCATTTTTAAATTTCGAACATTCATCTATGGCTTTTGTCGTTCGAAATTTGAAAATACGTTGTTTTCATTGCCCGAGATTGCTTATTCCTGAAAGTGCAGCCAATGAGTGAAGAATGTCTTTCGTTTAGAGTTTTCTTATTGAAGATTTTAATTTGATTGTTATAATGGACATTAAAGAGAGAGAGAGAGAGAGAGAGAGAGAGAGAGAAAGGGAGAGGGGGTAACGTCCACTCGACAGAAACTAGGTCATTTAG